ATAATTAGACCTCCTTGATCCCCACGCATAAAAGTCCAGTGACCACGAAAACTAAGACAGCTGCACATGGGTCAACTACAACCCCAATCCCAGGGATGGTTTGTCGAGCAAGAATCGAAGGGAGACTACTTGGGCCTCCAAAAAGCAAAGCCTGAAGAAAGGTGATAAAACAAGGTAACTACCGAAAGTCGTAACTTAATATAAATAAACTGAAAGGATGAATTAATTTTGAACTAAATATCTGGCATGAGATAGCATATTTCTTTAAAATAAAAAATAAAGATTTATCAGCTCATTTGGACTTCGGTTAGCAATTTTTTTTTTTTACTCTAAAAGAGATGAACGTGAAACGTGTTATAAATGATTGATTCGCATTAAAATCTTGGAAGAATTTAATCATTTATCAGTAAGCAAGTGAAGGACAGTTCCAAGAAGAATCTAACTGGAGGAAGGTTCATAAATTTTGAAACATCCCGAAAAAGTAAGGAGCTCATTCTATGTGAAACGGGACATCACAATCTTCCATGTTCAAGCGTAAGTATCATACTTGAGTGGATAAAATAGAAAATAAAAGGATTAAAAGAAACATGGTGATCAGGATGAAAATCTGTCCATTGCAAATGGAGCTGGAAGAGTCATTGTTGACAATTCTCCTGGCATAGAGCTAATAATGGACTACATCAAAATGGCTCAATTAAATTCTAGTGCTTCTTTTATTAGTGAAGTTTTTAGAAAAAAATATATATCAAACGGCGCAATGCACCTTGGGTCGCTACGGAAACAGCCTCCTCAATTAAATTCTAGTGCTTCTTTTATTAGTGAAGTTTCTAGAAAAAAAAATATCAAACGGCGCAATGCACCTTGGGTCGCTACGGAAACAGCCTCCTTGTATAATTACAAGGGTAAGGTCTGCGTACAACTGACCCCCCAGACCCCAACCTGTTGGGAATATACAGGGTATGTTGTTGTTGTTGTTGGTGGTGATCAGGATGAAAATACTTAAAAATGAAAACAGAAAATTGCTAGAAAACATGGATGAGGCTACAAAATGCATATAAACCATAGGCTTAATATCTCATTGTATCAATTACCAAACGTATTGTGTTAGCCTTGCAGCAACAAGCCTTCAGCTAAAAGCAACAACAACACAACAACAACAACAACATACCCAGTATATTCCCAACAACAATTTTTATTTTTAATAAAAGCAACAATTTTTAATAATCCAAACAACAAAACCTAAGACAGTCCAGTTACTATTTTATTTTTACAAACTCACAAGTCAGAAGACTAATTTGATTAAGTGATGCCTTGATCATTTGATAATTATCACAAAAGACTCACAAGATCTTATCAAAAAACGAAATATTTGAAACAGAGAAAGAAGCTTACCAGATTAGGTGATATGCCTCGAGCAACTGCTGAACCTCCTATAGTATACTCCAATATCAGAGCCCAACCAATCAACCAAGCAACACTGTGTAAAACAATGGGGTTAACATATAATATTTATTGCACTCGAAGCCTGTAAGCAATAAGTAAACAAATGGGACAAAAACTTCATACTTACACAGACCCAATGAAAATTCTGAAGGGAATATTAATTACTAATAAATCTTATACGAGCATTAATAATTTGGATGATTATAATGCAAACTCATGGAAAACCACTGCAACTAATCGATATTTATAATGAAAATTACCCTTCGCCAACACATATGTAAGAATAATGATAAGCGCTTCCAGCTGAAGGGCAACGACTGGCTAGCTCGGCATAGCAGAAAGCAGAAAGAGCAGCTGCAATTCCAGCTATCAGAAAGGAAAAGGTTAAGGCGGGCCCCGAGTGCTCTCTTGCAACAGTACCAACAAGAATGTAAACTCCAGCTCCAATTGTTGACCCGACACCTACAAGTTCAAATAAAGTCGATAAAAATATTGACTCGGGCAATGCCATCATCAACTTCATCTCCGTGCGTTTTCAAGAAAGAAAAAAATTACAGTCAAATCAATGTTAAAAAATTTAAAATTTCACTCAATCCATAAATATCATGAATTATGACAAGAGGCATATGGTTCAACACGAAGATTTCTTAATTTTTTAAGCAATAGGGGAAAAGGGCAGAACTTGAAACAACAAAACTGAATAACATCCTTCTGCAATCAACAAATGATAATTTACTTCACGAACAGAGTCTCATTAAAATTTAAAAGCACATAACATTATATGGTTAATACATGAAAATTCTTGGCAATCGGACCACCATTAGATAAGCAAACAGCCAACAACACCGCAGAGAGGATATAAACATCATCCAAACGCTAAAACAAAATTCCAAATAACAGTGACGAAAGAAACCCAACAAACTTGGACAAAATTAATGTTAAAAAAAAAAGGATTATATTTTTTACCTATGGCTATGAGATGAGGTACAGTTAAAGCCTTAGCCAAATGATGATGACCACTTCCTGATAAAGACGATGACTTTTTATGAGCAGAATCAACCCGTTTTCTCCTCACCAGGCTCCTCAAAGCTCCAACACCACCACCGCCATTTTTCGCATCAGTAAAACCCATCACACACCCACAAAATGTGACTATTTTTCAATTGGGTCTTCCCAAAATTCAATATTTCCTTGCAAAAGATGAATAAATCAAACAAATTTCCGACACGCGCATATAATAAATATGGGTTTCCTTTTAATACGGTTTCAAAAGTCCATCTCCGCGTAAAAAAAGAAAAATCAGGAACAGCCCTTTCTGCCCAGGATTCCCAAAGGCAGATCAAAACGGAGTCTTGACCACAGGATCGAATTGAAAAAGCCTTTGGGAAATCGGGTATTTGAGCTTTGGGGTTTGTTATTGCAGAGGTTGATTCAGCTGAGACTTGCTGTGGCAGAGAATGAAAATAGAGAGATTTTGGAGGAATTTATGTTGATTTAGTTTAAGAATTAAAAATAAATAAATAAAAATGGTGGGTTGTCCAATGAGCAGAAGTTTAATGCAAGTTGAAAAAAAAAATGAAAAGATTGGTGGAAAGTGGAACTATATGCTCTCTCTCGCCCTAAATTATTTGTTTGCGCACGCTATTCAAATGTGGTTGTGGTCCGTCCAATGGTTTTCATGATTATTCATTTATTTTATTTCATTTTATTTTACGATGCAATGACTCGAGCCGTATTGAGCAATTCCTTTATCGAGACAATATTTTTGTTACTGCTACTCAAGCTCATCTCGACAATATTCTACAAATGCTTGAGATCAATATGAAATCAACTCGAATTTTAGAACAATTTAAACAATTATAATATATATTTAAAGGCTTGTCGAGTAATCGGACTTATAGAATACGTGTTTGAGCTCGACTTGAAATTTGCCTCAACGTCGAGTTGTGCTTTGACTTGAACCGCTCAAAGTCGTTTGCAGCCAAAACAAAAGGAAGAAATAAATAAAAAAAAACAACAATAAATTGACTTTATAAAATGCCGTGTTAAGAAACAAAACTGAAATATTAGAGTGGCTAATGCATGATTACTTGTCCATTTGACATAATTGCATGAAAATTATCGTCTGTACGTTCATTCTATGACCACTAAGTTTTTTTTTCCATAAATCAAATTAAACACACTTTTTAAATTTGAGGCATGAGTTGACTCGTCATATTTTTTTAATAAAATAAATACGTATATAGTTAAATATTATTTTTTTTAAAATTGTATTTTAATGCATAATGTTCGAATATGAAAGCTTGCATATTTATAAATGAGTCTTTTTGTAAATTATATATATATATATTGGTTGGATGGGTCATTCAATTCAAGCACTTGTTAGTTATCGATATTTGTAATGGGATAAGATGAGGTGGTGTTTGACATTTCAGAAATTTCTGACTTTCAATAAATTGACCGTATCAAACTTTGTTATATTTTGAAATTCAACTCACCTTTGAAATTGAACTAACTAAACAAACACAATCAAACAATTAAATAATTCACCATTTTATATTTACCTTGTAATTGCATTGTGGATTGTACTACTTTAATGTAATTTGGTGACATAAAAGAATAACCATAATGATGTATAAATTTAATAGTTGTTAATTTTTAAAATAATATTATATGATATGATGTTCAAAGTTTATTATGTCAAAACTTTATGTCATCTAATGTAGCATGATCCATTGCTTTACACCCTAAAATATCGCACATGCTATAAATACATAACTATAAATGTAGTACATAAATTAAGGCTGCACATTTAATAGTTGAGCAACCTAAATATAATATTTTCTTCACCTTAAGACTACCTATTCGAAATTGGCAATACTTTTGGTCCATTCCAAGACACAAAACCAGAAAAATGATAGTTTAAGCTTTCTGAATCACGATATTGTTCCCATATTTCTTTCGTTCTGTATACATCAAAATTATTATTATTATTATTATTATTATTATTATTAATATTATTATTTTTTGTTCATTTATTAGATATGGACTCATGTTTATGGCCATTATACAATCTCTTGATCCCCACATTGTTATTTAATTCTGTATAGCCTGATAGCTCTATATGACAATTGAGTCCCTATGTTATTAACACAGTCCCATCTAAAAATTTAACATTTTATAAACTTATTGGCGCAGCGTAGACGTACAAGAAGGGAAAATAAGATTGAATCAACACTTCATGATGAAGAGTTCACACCATTTTCAAAAACAAGCCACGGTTTTATTTAATTTATTATAACGGGACTTTCTATTTTCGTAAGATATGCCGACAGCTAGTTTTCCAAGAACTTAAAAATGATTTTTTTTTTTTTCAATCAACTGCCCAAGTTCCAAAACCATGGCCTTGATGCCCGGCAATAATATTCAATGTATTGTTNAATTATCCACTTGTTGTACTTTTAAGGAAAATGCATACTTGTAGTATAAAATATTGTTATAATTTGTTTCCATAGTTTTTCTATAGTAAGTTATTTTCATTTGAAAGTATGAATTATATTGAATAGTATTGTTGCATACATTAGGAGTAGCCTTACTGAGTTAAAAGTAGTACAATTTCAAGTTTCATCACAAATTTAATTATTTTCAACAAAAAATACAAGTTTATGTCTTGTGTTAAGTTTGCATATTGTAGAGTTCAAGTTTTAACACAAATTTAATTATTTTCAACAAATTTGTGTTGGGATACATTTACGTATTATCGAAACCCTAATCGAAAAGTAAAATTTATTCAATTAAATTATGAAATTAACCATTTTGTTTTTTAAAGTTGAAGAGCGAGAGAGGTAAAAGAAGAATGAATTTATGCATGAATGTGTCATTGAACACTTATAGAACTAAAGAGGTACTGTGGTCGAGTCGAGTCGAGTCGAGCCGAGTTGAGGTTGGACTTCTGATACTCGAGCTCGGGCTCGAGTCTTTTATTATGCTTAGTCGAGTTTGACTAGTTAGTTAATTAAAGAAGGTGATAAAACAACTCTGAGTTCAACTGATCATTCATTAATATTAACGATTCAAATTCAAACTTAACAAGCCTCAAGTTAGTAAAAGAAAAACACACATAAAAACTTCTATTCTCGAGCCTCAATTAAATAAGCATAGACGAGTCAAGACTCAAGCTGAGCTCACTAGTAAATAATATCGTATATCAATCTATAGAAGAAAAGTAAACCTCTAGAAGAAATGGATGCTCTTTGACATTATATAGAGTAAATTGAGTAAGCTTGGACAAGTAGCTTAATTGGACGTGTAAGAAATAGGCAAACGGATTTAATGTTATCTTTCTTATATTTGGTACTATTTTAAGTTAATTATTAATATTTTCAAAACATCATCACTAATCACTACATGCAGCATATGTATATTTTAATACCCTACAATTAAAATAGAATAATATTGTGTTCTTTATTTTTTCACACTGACTGATTCTATATTATAACCTAATCTCTTTTTTTTTTTTGGTTATTATTGGCAAAAATTAGGCACTTGGCAAACAGTTTGTGTCATATGAATATATGATACAAGGATTTAGAAAGTAAATTCTATCCTACCAATAGAGGCATTGCTCTCGCAAAGTTTTTTTTTTTTATTATTGCTCACACATACAACTAAAAATTACAGTGTAATACCGTGTTTTTCCGATTTAGAGTACCCTTTAAACTTGATAAGTAGGTGTGGTTGGATATTTTAATTTTGATTGATTTTTTTGTTAACTATAATTAATTATGAAAAAGGTGGTTGGGTTACATTTAACTAGGATTTGAGTTTATATTAAAATAATATTTAAAATAAAATAATTAAAGTTTTTATAAGTAGATGAAAGTAAATTAAAATTGATTATTATTTAATTATATTGATAATATTAAGAATAGTCAGTTAGATTTTGAGTTAAAAAATTTGAGTGGTTAAAATTAATTAGTTTTTTATTGGAATTTTTTTTATATATGTTGACTTGAATAGAAGGTTTCTAGCTGTACTCAATACCCAATTGGATAGTGTCGAATAGATGGTCAACTAAAAGCCCAATTGTACTGATACTTTTGGCAAGCTTACTCTATACATGGGCCTGTCTGTGTTATTGGGCTTAGATCTGTCCACTTGCTATAGTTCCAAGTTTTTTATATAAAGAGAAAAATACACCATATACCTTTAAATATAATTTTATTTTCATAATATGAAGTTTTACTTTTAATTATAAATAATCTATTTTTTTATAGTTTATATATGGTTTATTTATTGTTTATTTTTATCATTGATTTTTAAATAGCGACAATTTGAGTGGGACCATGGCTCATTTGAAACTAATTAATGAACAAAACCGTATTCGTAAGGCCGTTTTTACGACGAGGCGCACAAATGAGTGTGAAATTTTGGTTTTTCTTGGCTTATAGAGTTCGATAAAACAGTAGTAAGCTCAGATGTTAATATATTACGTCCAAGTCTAGACTCGCTGTCAAATCGGAAGGGAACTGGAAATTGTATAAATGGATGAACATTCCTTTGTGAAGCGGCTGTTCGAGAAATTAAAATTGGTTTGGGAGGTTGGATTCATGATGCTTAAGGCGTTTGTCGAGTTGCCTTTGCTACGTGTTTGACGGGTTTTTTTGTCCCATTACTTACGGAAGCCTTTGCCATTGCACCTTAGCCATCATGCATTAGGAGTTGTACATTTGAAGTCTTACGGATAATTTGTTAGGGATCATAATTAAAGTTTATCCTTGTCAATGGGTAGATCATCATATATAGTTATAAGGCCAAAAGTTCACACAAAATGGACTTCATGTGCTACTTACACTACAACATAAATGACTTTAGATAACATATTAATTGTAACACTTTATAAATTATTGGTTTATGTATCATATTATTGTAACACTTTTAATATTATGAAAGTTTGACATTTAAGTAACATTTTTTGTAACACTTTATTAATGCGTAATATTTTCATGTAACACTTTCGATTAAGTAACACATCCATAGTAATACTTTTTCTTTACATTTTTAGTAACACAATGTAGCATCATTTATGTTATAATACTTTATTTTTTAATTTAAGTAATGTTCTCTTGAAAGCAGTGTTCTAGAAGTCGCTAGTATTATTTCTCTTGTTTTCGTGAAATCTTACTTAAGGACGGAGACACAGAACACTTGACCAATCTGGCTGAATAACTTTTGTCTATGTTGTTTTTCTTGGTTCAACTCGGGAAATGTTTTGAATTCATGTTGTTAGTCTCACGACCAACGCTTAGGCCTAGAGCACCTATACGGGGCCTATAAATTAAGATTAAATAACATATTTTTACTACCTTAAATGAAAACTATCTCAACTTATAATAAATCACACACTTAAGTCCAAATAAAAATATTAATATATTATAAAAAAATGTGATAACAAAATAATGTAATTAGTATTTAAAAAATAAATTAATATTCTAAAAAATACAACAAAAGGAAAAACCTTATTAAGAGAATTTATTTTTTATATCTAATGATATAACCATTATATATATATTGATATTGATGATAATGTACTCTTTTATCAAAATGTCCTGGATAACAAATGTCCAATTTTTAACTTGAGGTGTTA